ATAATAATCAGACCAGTGTGTTTTCTGTCACACAGCTTCTATGGAATGTGGAAAGAGCCGGGTGTTCTAATTAAATCAGAGGTTGGGGAAATCCCTTCCTGCAGTTCTGTAAAATGATTGCAATTATTTGTAACAGTGTGAGTCAATGTGCAGAGCTGTGTTTTTAGTGAGATCAAGAAATTAAGACCTCAGCATTGCTTTGTGCTTTAGAAACCACAAAATAAAATAGTTTATTTTTATTTTGTTCCCGTCTTGATTTTTAAGGAGCCTGTCCAGCGACACTGGATTCAAATAATGAATATGTGGCCACACATTAATAACTCGTGGCCACAAGATGATTTTAAGCAGTGTGTGATAGATACAGATGTTGTTGGATTCAGATTTTATCTGAATACATTTCTGTGTTTAATCATTCAAAAGGTACTTCACAATTATTTATTTTTTGGTGTATTTTTAATCCAAAAAGTTTAACTCCATGGTTCAATTAAAACAGTTAGGGGAGCCCATTTTGTCTGTTGAGCTTAAACAAACAACAGTTTGTGGACAAATACAATTCCAGTCATCACCTGTGTCTTATAGCTGCAAAATGATGAAGTATAATGGACTGCAAGTGACTGAATTATATCATTCATCCCTAGATTAAAACAATATGAAATTAATTCAAACTTGTCCATGTTAACACTCAACAGTCTCTACATGGAAATGACCACAAGAATCTCGTGGCCACAAGTTGTGGCCATGCATTTTTTTTTGCAATGTCACCAAATGGTAGTCTGTATTTTTGTCCTGACTTTGTCGTGATTAAACTTCGATTGGTTGCAGAAGAATCAATGACTAAGTTGAAAAGGTAGAAAATGTACAAATGTTTAAAAAATGCTCATTGTTTTTAGAGAATAATTAGCCAGAATGTTTGTTTGTATTTTATTGCATTGTTCTTGATAACTCTACCSCCACCTACTGGCATGGACAAGTACTTCAGTGTTTTTGTTGAAAATTCTCTTTTTTGTCTGGACATTTTTTAAAATAAGAAAAAAGATGATATATAGTGTTGCATGTGTCTGACAGAACAGGTTGCACATCTGAGGAAATGGATTCTTTTCCCCCAACCTCTGGTTTTCCCTCCACACTTGACCCTTTGTAGACTCCGTGCTAACCAGATACTTTGTTATGAGTGACCGGTGCAGAGCCAACTCACGCCAATAAAGTAGGGAGACACCTCCTTAGTATTGCTCTTCTATATTAACACACATGAATCACATACACTTCAGAAAATAAATTCACACACACAAGCGCCTGTCTTGTAAAGTTGCAACAGTACCACATTGCAAATGTAAAAAAGAAAAAAAAAATGTGCTCGGAAAATAAGAACTGTGCAAACAATGATCAGGGATAAAATGGTACTGCATTCATGAAATTAAAAACATTAAAGGAAAGTTCTTTCACCCATTAAAAAAATAAAAGATCAACGTTAAATCCTTTTTAGGAACTTAAAACCAGCCGAACATCATGAACTGATCCAACTGCAATGCTGAATGTTCAGAGTTTTTTCTCTTTGCTATGATTGATTGTGGTGACAGTAGTTCAAGCTCACGTCATATCGCCTGGCTTCAGCTTGTATACGCAGAGCGAGCTGTGGAAAAGTCAATTATGTCTGCAGTGGTATWGAAAAGCAATACCAACCATCTGTACAGATAAACTGCCAACCCCAWCATACWAAAATCAAACAGAAAAGCCATTTTGAAAAACAAAAGAAAACAAGTAAAAACCTGATGGATATACTAAAGGCTTATGCTAACGACCCCACAAACAGGAAAGTGGAAACCTGTTCACTCTGTATTGGTTTTTGAAAATATATACTGTTTAAATCACCCTGCACCAATCAGCCAAGGCATTCAGTACCAGTCCCTCTGTGGCAACGTGTATCAAGTCCAGCTGAATCGATGACATCAGTGCTGTTCCCCTTCACCCTGGTGGGTCAGTTTCTCACCGACAGGGGCTGCTTAGTGGGTTCGTCTGGGATCAGTTTTCAGGGTTTCCTTGCTTCCTTCAGTCACTGGCTGCTGCGACCAGTCACATCTAGCACTAAACAAGCCGAATCCAAAGTTTTAAACCAGGGAATGTGTACACTGAGCTTCAGGCAGCCGAAGTCCCCGCCGAGCAGGAGGGCACACACAGCATGGAAGCCAGCAGGAATGGGAGCAGCCCCTCCTCGCTCAGCACTGCTCGGACTCGATGAAGCCCTCCTTCTCCTGGCCCACCGGCTCCACCTCTGCGTACGCGGGGTGGCCCGAGCCCCGGCGAAATTTCATGGCTGGCCATCTGCTCGGGCGTCTCTGCGGAGGCGGGGAGAGGAGCACACAGATGAGGGTTTACCAGGGAAAACAGAGCATTGGGGGCAACAGGGTACAGCCCCCTAAATCATCCCCTGCGTATTAGAAGGCAAACAATTTCCCTTTTTTCCTCTTACTGAACGTGATATATTAGCGCCGTGAAAATACAATGTAGCTTAGCACCATTAGTGGACTTTAGAGTCTGTAGGGACTTGACAAAGCACTCTATAAGTTCCAGCTATTTACCAAATAATGACCTTAAAACTACGAATGATTTTATTTACAGGGTATCTGCAGGTATTAGCAAGTCAAATTTAAGACTTTTTAAGACCTTTTTAGTATCACCTTGAATGAAATTTAAGACCGAAAATAGAAGCGATGGTTCTGAGGAGACTGAGAACTTTAATCGCTTCTGCCCGACAAAATTTAAAACCGTTGAGTAACAAATTTAAGACCAACTTGCATATTTTTAAACAAATTTAAGACTTTTTAAGGTCTTAATTCTAGATATGTGAATTTAAGACTTTTTAAAACCTTTTAAGGACCCGCGAACACCCTGATTTAATCCAATACAGCTTTTTGGACAAATATGTGGGCTGTGATTTTCATCTTTTTGTGAGTCTGCAACAGAAACTAATATCTCAATGGACATTTTTAAAGAGGTCCTATTATGCAAAATGCACTTTTTTACATGTTTTTATGCTTCAATTTGGGTTTGTGCTGCTTTCAGAAACAGCCCAAGAG